TACCATTGCCATCCTCTGAGGCTGAGAAAGTGTGACTTGCCCAAGGTCCCTGGTTAGGTTTCCATGACCAAGCCAGGATTTGAACCCTGGTCTCCAGACTCATAGTCCAACATTCAAACCCCTACACCATGCTGGGTTTTTATTTTGTGTGTGTATGTTGTGTGACTTCAAGTTTTTTCTGACTTATGGCAACCCTATCCTGGGATTTTCTTGGCAAGATTAGTTCACAGGAGGTTTGCCATTGCCTTCTCCTGAGGCTGAGAGTGTGTGACTTGTCCAAGGTCATCCAGTGGGTTTCATAGCTGAGCCGGGATTTGAACCCTCCTCTCCAAAGTCATGGTCCTACACTCAAACCATTATGCCACTATATGTTTATTTGTTTGTTTGTTTGTTTATTAGCAGATGCTAATAAACGTGTACCAGGTATTGTTGCCATTTCTCTTCTCTGCTTCTAAGACGTGCCAAAATATTACTGAGGCCCATGAATAAAATGCGAGAGAAAGGTGCATGCACACCCAGGATGTTTTGCTGCTCTTGTTATCCGTCCTGGTTTGTTTGTTTGTTTGTTTGTTTAAATGCAGGCTGAGATATAAATAGAAATAATAAGCAAAAGAAGGGGAAAGGTAAATAAATATATAATAAAGCGTTCCCTCCAGATTCCCTAGCCAGGCTTTTGGAGCCTGCCCTTTGCAGCCGTCTGCAAGCATTAATTCCGCTTTGCCAGAAATGGAACGCCAGGCACAGCTGTGCTTTTGCAACGCTGAGCATCGAGAGGCCTGATGTCGCGGAGGAGCATAGCAACGGCCCTGAATCCTCATCATTTTTAATGCCAGCCCCACGGGGCTTTCTTCTGCAACACTGCCATGCTAGGGGCTGAGTGGGTTTGGCTCCCTCCCCAGCATTGTTCTTTCCTTGCAAAGCTGTGGATTGTCTCCTACATCAAAATATGCTCGTTCCAGATTTTCCAGATTTTTTTTATTATATATATATATATATATTGCAAATGTGGGGGGTTGGAATGCAGGCACTGAAATTAAGAATTACAGACAATCTTTCATGCTAGGGTTGCAGCCACTCATGAAGGAGCTATCTGGAAGGGAAGCTGGATTTTTGCAGTGCCCTAGTCACCAAAAACTATGGGGTGAGAGTTAGTGGTTTGCCATTGCATGCATTTCCAGCTGTTCCATCAAACTGACCTACTTTCTCCACTGGAAAGGATGGACAAATCAGCAGTTTTTTTCACCTTCTGCTGCAGTG